GGACCACGTCCTGTCCCCAAAGTCCACCCTCATCATTCCCTGGGGATCTTGCTGCTCCCCTATATACTGATTTTCACCAGTTTTGTTTTTGTTTTAAGAATAAAATTTCCAGGAAGCCCTGGTGGCATAGTGGGTTACACATTGGGCTGCTAACTACAAGAATAAAATTTCCTACTTTCCATCTTGATCAAAAGTTTGATTTACTTTATAAAGCATGCTCTAGTTGTAAAGTACAGAATGAATAAAAAATAATCAACTCTTGAGACAGAAAGACTAGTTAAGGGGTATTCCAGTCATCTAGGGGAGAAATGAGGATCCCTGGTAATGTAGTGGTTGCACATTGGGCTGCTAACCACAAGGTCAGCAGTTTGAAACCACGAGGCTCTCTACAGGAGAACAACAGGACTTTGTATTCCTGTAAAGAGTTACAGTCTCAGAAATCCACAAGGGCAGTTCTGTCCTATTCTGTAGGGTTACTATGAGTTGGCATCGACTCACTGGCAGTGAGTTTGGTTGGAGGGCAGGGATTCTTAAATAGACCCTGAACTACAGGAACAGCAGGGGAAAGAAATGCGCATAAAAATAACAGAATACTATATAAATAGAACAAAATCTTTTTTAAATCTCTCCAGTAAAGACTAATTTGCATGATTTTTTTTCTCCTTAGAGCAGTGACCTGCATGAGAAGCAAAAGTTTTATTTGAGACAATCAGTCATTGATTTGCAAACAAAACTTCAAGAGATGCAAATGGAGAGAGATGCCATGGCTGACATCAGGTTGGAATTTGCCACAGAAAATATTTTTCAAGTTTACTTTTTGTAGTAAAAAAGTCCACGTGTGAATGTAAATGCTAATCATTTTTTTCTTTCACTTCTTTCATAGACGAAGAGAGAGTCAGTCCCAGGAGGATTTAAGAAATCAGCTTCAAAATACAGTTCATGAACTTGAAGCTGCCAAAAGTATCAAGGAGAACATGCTAAAAGATAGCAGCTCACAGATAGAACAGCTTAGGAAAATGATGCTTAGTCATGAGGGTGTGCTACAAGAAATCCGATCAGTCCTAGTTGACTTTGAAGAAGCCTCAGGCAAGAAAGTATATGATCATGAAAGCATGTCTACTCTCCACATCCGAAACTTGGGCTCAGCTATTAGTAAAATCCTAAGAGAATTAGACACAGAGATTTCTTATCTTAAAGGGAGGATATTTCCAGTAAGTGGTGAGAACACTAATTTTATATTATGATCTATTTTAATTGTATAAAAAGCTGTTAATAAATAAAGAGAATTAGCTAGATTTACCTGGTTAGCTTCGTGTGAGTAAAGCCCAAAGTAAAAGATCTAATGCAATACAGTGGTGTAATGCATCTCATTTCAGTATTTCTTTAACTTCCAGCTTCTAAAGCATTTAGAATTGCGAAATTTCTAACATTTTCTAGACTTTACCAATCCCTAAATCAATGACTTTTTTAAAAAAAAAAACAGGTGGAGGATCAGCTTGAAGCATTAAAATTGGAATCACAGAACAAAATAGAACTACTACTTCAGCAGCATCAAGATCGGTAGGTTTCTGACTGTGGCATAGACAATGTGAAAATTGAACCACAGGTCTCTCATTGTATAAAAAGCACTGTTAAAATAATGTCTCAAGATATTCTCTCATAGACTCTTTTAAAATCTAAAAATCCCAGAAACACAAAAGGTTGATTTCATAGATAATAGTGGCAACTTCATTTGTTAGTAAAAATTTGAGCGAATGATAAAATGCTTGTAATTCATTGTGATTGTTTGTAAATTTAAGGAGCTCTGGTGGGGCTGTGGGGTAGTTATTAGGTTGCTAACCACATGGTCATTGATTCAAACCCACCAGCTGCTCCTTGGGAGATTGTCTCCCTTAAGGATTTAGTCTCTCAGAAACCCTGTGAGTTAGAACTGACTCAATGGCAGTGGGTTTGGCCTTTTTCTTTTGCTGTTTGTAAACTTACCTTTGCCCTGCTAGTATGTTTGGTTTGCAAGATGCTTCTGTAGCTCTCCCTAAGGATGTCATATCCTATGTG